GTGGGTCATGAAACGTCTGCAAGAGAACAACCACATTCAGAGAGCACCAAGGACCCCACAGTCCTCTTCCTCCCCCTCCCCTTTCCCCTCCTCTTCCTCTCTCTCCTTCTCCACTCTGCAATCCCCATTCTCTTCTAGCACTGATGATGTTACCTAGTTGGATGGTGAAATGTCTTCAAAAAGGCAGCAAACCTCAGAGGGCACCGAGGACCCCCCAGTCCTCCTCTTCCCTGTAAACCTCACTCCCTTCTGTCACTTCTCCTCCCCACACTCAAGACAGCATCCCACAGTTCAAGCCTGAACTACAAAAAGTCCTCAACTTACAGCAGTTCGTTTAGCTGTTCAAAGTTACAGCAGCACTGAAAAAACACCCAACTCAGGACCATTTTTCACACTTACGACGGTTGCAGCTGTTGTTAAGTCAAAGACTACCTGCACCCAGCATGGTTGTTTGTTCCCTGGGGGAGCCCCCTCAAACGTACGACCACAACTGAGCCCAAAACACACGTCGTTAAGCGAAACATCTGTTAAGTGAGTTTTGCCTCCTTTCGCCACCTTTCTCGCCCCGCGTTTTAAGGGAATCCCCCCGCCGTTGGTAAGCGAGCAACAGGGTTGTTAAGCGAATCCGACCTCCCCATCGACTCTGCTTGTCCGGAGGTCGCCAAAGGGGATCACGGGACCCCAGGAGACACAGCGACCGTCAGAAATACGAGCCAGCCTGAACTTTGATCACCCGACCGCGGGGACGCTGCACTGGTCGTTAAGTGCGAAACACCCGCCCTAAGTCCCCTTTGTTTCAGGGCCCTTGTCGCTTCGAAGGGTCACTAAACGAACTGGTTGTCAACCGAGGACGGCCTGGTCTTCCCCCCCCCCCCCCCCCCCCCCCCCCCCCCCCCCCCCCGCCCCACAACCCCATTCAAAGCCAGGCCTTCTTCAGGACGGGATTTACACCCCGTGTTTCCTTAGGGAGCCCCAAAACTCAAGGCTCCCCCCCCCTTTTTTTTCTTGTCTTTCCCCCCATGACAACAACCCCGTCAGGTAGGCTGGGCAGAGAAAGACGCAGGTGGCGCTTTTTCTTGGGGGGGGGGAAGGGGGGGGCTCCAGCCCCTCCCCCATCAGAACCCTCCTCGGTTTCCCAGGCAACGACCCCTCCCTCTTCCCCTCAGGGCCCCCCTCCTTCCCAAGGGCCTCCCTCGCCCGACGACCCTGTGAGGTAGGCCGGGACGGCCGAAGACTCTCTAGATACTCCCCCCCACCCACGGTCCCCTCAAGCCCCCTCACCGCTGTATCCGCCTTTCCCGCCGTCGGCCATGAAGGGAGCCCCGCTGACGGGCACCTCGGAGAACGACTCCCCGGCAAAGCACAAGAGATGCCTCGGAAGAGAGTCCTTGGCCCGCCGGGCGCCTCCGCCGCCGTCGTCGCTGCTGCTGCTGCAACCGCCTCCGCTCGCCTTTCTTCTCGCCTCCCCCCCCCGCCGCCTCTCCCCTCACAGCGCGTCGCTCTCGAACGAAGGAGGCGAGCCGCCCAGTGCGCAGGCGCGGGCAGGCAACGCGCAGCCTCCGCCGCGAGGGGTTTCCGGTGAGGGCGACACGGTTTCCGGCGAGCCGACCGCGCAGGCGCGCTTCACCGCATCACCCTCCTACCCCCCCTCCCACTTTGAGACCATAGACTTATAGAGCATAGGCGGGAATGGCAGACTTGCCAACCTTTCAAAGCTTGTTTTATTAGGGTTGGCCCGGAATGGTGGTTTGGAGGGATGCTTTGCCCTACACTTGTTGTTGGTGGGCTCCTAAGCCCTGTTTGGTGGGCTTATCAAAGTTGGAAGCGGTTTTTTTTTTTTAAAGTAGTGAGGGTTTAGAGTTGCATCGAAAAAAGTGACTTATGACCATTTCTCACACTAATGACCATTGCACAACCCCCCCCCGTGGTCACATGATCAAGATTCGGATGCTTGGCAACTGGCATGCACTTATGACGGTTGCGATGCCCCTGGGGGTAACGTTGAGGCAGGACATAAAAGAAGGAATATATTGCCTTTAGGGAGATATTAACATGATTTTTCTTGATATTGTAATGTGTGTATTAAACAAATGAAAAATGTCAGATCGTAGGTTCATCCGTCGGTCACTCACTCATATTGTCAAGGAGAAAGCTTTGTACAGATAACCTTGCAACAAAACCACAAGCGTACTGCCAGAAACTAGAAGCTGTGGAAATTCACCTTTGATATAGTTTACTGTATTGTCATTGCACCTCGTACAACGAAATCAAACGCCATCTTCAGTGCACATCATGAAAATAAACACAAACACACATCCTTCACCCTGACTGAGAGGGGAAAGTATTTCGTTAGTGTAGCCTAGCAATAGGGGAGCTGTATTTCAAGTAACCAATGTGGTTTGCACCTTCTGAAATGTATATATGCGAGTGTAAAATCTATAGGAAGTTGTTCAGCTGTTGGTTTAGCTAATTTGCTCTGAACCTTTGTGCAAATAAAACTATTTCTGATTCCAAGGTCTGAGCTTGACATTTCCTGCAACGTGATTCCCTTTTGCAGCCTGCTGACAAGCACCATCAATGCTTGAAAGCCAGATTCCCTTAACAACTGTTTTACTACCCTAACAACTACAGTGATTTGCTTAACAACTGCAGGAAGAAAAGTCATAAAATGGGGCAAAAGTCACTCAATTGTTCTGAGCAAAGTTTGGGTTCAATTGCAGTCGTAAGTCAAGGACTTACCTGTAATGGACAGCTGGCTTACAGGAACTGCGAAGTGGTTTAAGGTGCCCAGAGAAAGGAAATGCTTTTAAATCCTATGAAAATATTGCTGTACTTGGGAAAATTTAGGTCACGTGCCATGCTAACAAAGCTGGCATGGTATCTGAACATTTTAAAATGTAATTTATATCCAATGATCCAAAGACTGGTGAGTTTAGATGACGATAAAGACGCTACCCTGAGGTGCTGTATAGATAGTCCTCGACTTAAAAATAATTAGGACCACGACTTCTGTTGCTAAACAAGATGGTTATGTGATTCGTCGTGCCCAATTTTACCACCTTTTTTTTTTGGCCACGGTTGTAAAGTGACTCATTGTGAGTGCCTGCACGTGTTAGGTGTGACTTTGCCTGTTGCTATTATTGCACCCTTAAGGAAGTGACCTCATGGCATACTAAACACCCCTCTTTTAAATGCATCCTAAACAGATTAAGTCAGTCTCCTCGATTTGCAGGCCAAAACAAAACTAAATGAATCCCACAGACTGGATTCACACATTATCTCTGCATTGGCTGAATGTTGTCTCCAGAACCAAAGCAGATGTCCCAAAAGTGCTTTTTCAAGAGGCAACTGGACTTTTTTTTTTTCCCTTGAAGAGGTTTCGCTCCTCATCCAAGAAGCTTCTTCAGCTCTGAAGAAACTTCTCGGATGAGGAGCGAAACGTCTTCAAAGAAAAACCAAGAAAGTCTGACGGAGAATCTTCACAGACTATTATCGTTTGCTTTTTTCACAAGTATACGTTGTAATGAGGAAGCTTCTTGGATGAGGAGCGAACGTCTTCAAAGAATAACCAAGAAAGTCTGACGGAGAATCTCCACAGACTATTATC